CAATCAGCAGAAGAATCTTTTAGAGTTGAGTACTTTATTTTTATAATTGATCAAGCTCTATCTTCTTTGAGAACCCGATTTGAACAATTTAAACAATATGATGATACATTTGGATTTTTGTTTAGTTTGAAGAGGTTAAGAGGTGCAACTTTTTCAAGTTTATTGAACTCTTGCTTGAATCTTGAGAAATATCTTCAACATAATGGGCGTTCGGATATCAGTGGGGATGATTTATGTTCGGAGTTACAAGTCTTGAGGTGTTACATACCAAGTGAAGCAACAAGAGCAATTGAAGTGCTACAATATTTGAAGACATTGGATGTTTGTTTTCCAAATGCTTATATTGCTTACCAAATTTTGTTAACCATACCGGTTACAGTTGCATCTGCAGAAAGAAGTTTCTCGAAATTAAAGTTGATCAAAACCTATCTCCGATCAACTATGTCGCAAGAAAGATTAAATGGGTTGGCTATGCTATCAATAGAAAAAGAACTGGTTGAGCAGTTAAATTATTCAGATTTGATTGATGTTTTTGCTTCTAAAACAGCAAGACGAATAGTATTTAACTAATTGTTTGAAATTTTTGGTTTGATGGTTTATAATATAAATCGTTTTTATAATATATTTCGTTGTTGTTTTAATGTTAGTTTTTTAAGTTAGCAATGAGTCGCATAATACACTTTTGAATTTTGTCGCTGGGGGGCCTACTTTTCATATTTCGCCTCAGGGCCCATTAGATACAGGACCGGCTCTGGTTTGAGCATCCAAACTAGTGAGTTTAGGAAGTGAAAATCATAATTAGGGTAGTAGAATTTGTTGATCAGATTTCTATCATCAATAAATAGACACCATCTGTGTGAAAGCATGAACAAAGTAAACCACGAAATCTTATTATATCTGTGAAAAGTTCAAAACTCTTGAGATCTGAAATCATGAGTCAGATCAAGGAGAAATTGGAGTAAATGAAAGCATCTAAGGTAAAAGTCTGTGAGTGCAGTGAATGTCCACCAGATAGCGACACTAATCCTAATAGACATAGACAAGAAACTTTAAAAGGAAGTGCAAGCAGGCATCTTTCCCGCATAGCGCCGTTACTTATAGTAGAAAATGTCTACTGCCAAAACCATTCAAGAAATGGCTAAAAGTTTGAGCAGTTATGGCAAAGAACTCGTTTTTATATGTGAAAATAGAGAATATGAAAGTAGGCGCATTTGTTAAAATTGAAGAAAATGAAACTAATCTTGCTAGCAACGCTTTCTGTTATGATAACAAAAACCGATGGTAGTATATTGGAAAAGAAACGTAAATGGCAGCGCAAGAGTAGGCCTGCCAAGAGGGTTTCTAAAAGAGGTTACTTCACAGGATAGGAGGAACAATCACCGGGAAAGCCGGAGGGTTAAAAGTCTATTCGATACCTCGTATAATATTCCTCTAGATGAGAATATAAGGGTTGACCTACAAGGTCATACGAATTGGATAATGATTATGAACATCTATCATTTTCCAGGGAGATCAAGGAGGAATTGATCTCAAACAAATTCTTATGTCCAATTATGGATAAGTATAGTAAAAAAGGAGATCCTATATAACATTTATGTCAGTATATGACACAAATGCGATTGAATAAAGCAAGTCCTGCACTTAAGTGTCAAGGCTTTCATCTACTTTGGAAGGATCTGCCAAGTGGTGGTATAGCGAGTTACACTGATAGCCCAAGAATAACTAATCAAAATGGCATGAATCAGTTTTTAAATTTTTTTCAAAACACTAATTTAAATTCAAACGAGTTAAGAGCTATTACTTTAATCAAATAATATGTGCAAATACAACAACGATAAATAAAGGGGAAGAGAGGACGCAAACGACATAATTGTGGAGGTTCGATACAAAATAATGATCTACATCCTTTGTTACCAAACTCTTTGTCATGAGTAAGACATTTTCACTAAATTGATTGATTTATGGTGCAATCCAAATCCTTACAACGCTTTTCGTGACTTACAAATAAGGAGCACCAAACCTTATATAATATTGAGTTTTATGGAATCTCAATATGACTCACACTATTGAGTTTTTAAGTAACCTCAATATGACCCACAAGTTTGAAGAATGATTTTACAATTGAAACTTTTCTCTCTTAACAAATTATACCAATGAATTAAGTACCAAGAGAGGCTAACACTTCAATAAATAACAATAAATGATATCTTAAGTATTAGATATAAAACTTTGATAAAAGTTTAATTTCATCAATCAAAGTTGTAGTTATAAGATGTAAAAAATAGATACAATCGATGTCAAAGATTTTTTTCAAAAAATATCTCTCTTTTGTGAATAATATCTAGAGAGATATGAAAAACTTTGTTGAAGATTGTAATTTAAGAAGTTTGATTCAGCAATCAAAGTTTTTGATATGAAAAAATAGATGAGATGAATATAGTGTAAACTTAAATGATTTTGCTCAAATGTATTTCATTTTATTGTCATGAAAACACTTGCAATGAATGCAAAAAAGTGAATCTATTTATAAAGTTCAATGAGCAAAACTTTTGGAAAACGGGCAAGTGTCCAAATGTCTGTCTCATGTCTAGACGTACAAAAGTGTCTATTAAATGCTAGAAACTAGAATAGTCAAAAAATCGACTGTTGTAATCTTTGAACGTTCGCTAGTGCCATCCGGACATCTGCCTTTCACAATTTTCTTCGTTTCGACTTTGTTTGATCCGACTTGTAAGTTTTGAAAAATCTAGGCTTTTTTAAGGAATTCTTGACTTATTTTTCAAGGTAAGTGATATCTTAATATGATCTAATGTTCAAATAATCAATTTGAAAAATAATGTTACCTTTGGTCTAAATATTTTACGCAAATGATTATCAAAATAGCTTTTTGTGCATAAAATTATTTTTAGAGATTTAATCACTCATTGCTAAATATTGAAGAATTAATACCTTTATAAATGAATAAGAATGTCTAGTCTATGATTTTTGTTTGACGTTTGACTTTTAAGCTCTTGTCTTGAAGGATTTGACTTGAATGATTGACTTCAATATCGACCTTCATTGTGAGTCCAATTTGTAATATGATAGTCGTGATAATGATCTTTTGGCAACAATCAATCAATTTAACATTGAATACTTTGAAAACTATAATTAATTTAATTCATTTATTAGAAAACAAGATTAACTTATTTGTTATGATCAAAACAATAATGAAAAAGTCAATCATAGGTCAACAATTTTTCTCTTTTTTTATTATGGCAAAAAAGATGATTTGCAAAGTAGTTTCAAACAATTGATGAGGAATATAAGAACATGCTGATTTTCTAAGTATAGAGGCCCACTGATTTCCTAAGTTATGTATAGGGGCCTGTTAATTTTGCATTGCTCTCAGTCTTGGTGACGTACTTAACAATAGATCCTCCAAGAATCACCTCTTTTCTTGTTGTTGAATTGCAGGTGGATTATCCGTTATCTAATTTAATTGATCCGAATTATTCACTCACTCGTAGTTGGGATGCTTCTTCAAACTCGAATGGTAGTTGTGTAGGTAAGGTCTATTTTGGATCTGATAGCCCTGCACATAACTGACCTATGCTAGCTGACCCATATGAGTGGAAGCCAAAGGGTTACTTGCAATGATATGATCTATCCTCACACCCTACAAAAACTAGAGCTAGATGTTTTATGCTAAAGCTGTCACTACGTCTACATTACGTATCCCAGCTGGCTTCCTCGGAGCTTTCCTCTTAGTAGGCCAATTGCCTTGATTCTCAGCAATTTTCTCATACAGGTTGAATACATCGTCAATCTCCAATGTCATAACTGAGTTGCCCACTAAAGCATTTGCCATTTATGAAATTTGGGGTGTAGTCTATTGTAGAAGAGATACACCTGCACCTACTTAGGAATGTTAAGATTTAGACACTTCCTAAATGTTCTCTTAAACCTTTTTCATGCCTCTAGTTATGTCTCAAAACCCTTTTATTTGAAGGTATATACTTCGTTTCTGATTTGGTGAACTTGAGATGGCGGGAGGAATTTTATGGAATTTTTTTTTACCATGTAATTCCATGGAAGAATTTCATGGAAAATTTGTCACATTCCCTCGTGGTAGATGGCTTCACACAACATGAGAGAAGCATGTATGTGTTCATGTGGATTCTCTGTTGCTTTCCCATAGAACTTGATTTCTTCATGATTCTAGAAGAGGTTTATGATATCTGGTCGGATGTGGAAGTTGGCTTGTCCAAAGGACGGATAGATAATTGCTGACTACATTGGTGCAAGTATAGGATTCACATAATCTCTTACTAATACAGGCTAAACCGGAGGTGGTTGCTGAATTGGTAGTGCTGCTTCCTAAAGTGTATCTTGAATCTGATTCTAATTATCAGCCACTACCTTGCTCTTCTTTGTTCTCTTCTACGTTGTTTGAATGTTCTTTCAATCTTGGGATCCAATGGTGGGAGTTCGATTTCTTCAGAATTATGCATAAACTATTGACAACCTAAAATAAGTGAAATAGAAGAAATTAGGTAGTGATATGAATAGACTAAAATAAATAAAAAATGAAAAATAAAATATCAAGTATCAAATCTAATAAAAAAAATAAGAAACTAAAATTAAAACCGTTATTCCTCAATAATGGCGCCAAAAACTTGTTCGGGTGAAATTGCAAGCGTACGGGATCGATGTACAAATGATAGAAATAGAAAGTTTCGAGTTTATCGTTCCCACGAGGAATAATGTTTAAAATATAGCTCAACAATTAGTATTAGATTACAGGGAATAATGACAACAAATGAGTGATTTTGGGACTGTTTATAATATTTCTAATCTATACTAATAAAGCAAGTAAATTTTAGTTTTATTGAATGTGAATGCTTGT